CGGGCAGATCCCGCCGGTGAGATATGCGACGCGAGCGTAATTCGAAAAACGCGATGTGCGAGCGAATAGCTGCAGCGGCGCGGGGAATTAAGAACTCCGCACGACGGAATTAAAAATGGCTGCAAGTTGCGGCAGAGAGAATGCACGGGAACGCGCCCCCCCCCCCTTCGATCGAGTATCTCTCTCCGCGATCGTCGAGCTCGATTGGACAATAAATATCCGATCGTTATTATCGCCGTTGTTCCGATAGAGATCTCGCGCGCGGCGTCCCTTTTTTACCTCCTCCTCTTCTGCACGCCGGATAAATCGATTCGTGGTTAACACATTAGGAATCCGATGGAAATGACGATTGTGCGAATTCGCAAAGATAAATAATGCTTCTCGGAAGAGGTTAAACGAATAGCTCGAATAAAATCATTGCAATCCTCGAGTGATTTCGAGAATCTTCTATTTTTAAACACACCTGAATGCACGCTTAAAAAATTATGTGATGTCCTCTCTCTCTTTCTTTTTTGTCTCTTTTTCATTCTTATATGATTTATAAATGGCTGTATAAACTTAATATATACAGAACTAAAATCCTTGAAATTAATATTCTCGACACACATATTATGCATATTTGCATTATGCACTGCACTTTTATGAAAATTCCGCAAAATTAAAGTCAGAACATTTGGACTTCTATAACATAATGTAACATTGTTGTGTCTCTCCATACTAATTCGCAACATTAATATCGTTCCTTTGAGAAACGACGGGGCAAGGTATCTTCCGAAGCAGCTACGATCCCAATGCATTACATTCTGCAGCCGTTACAAACACAACTTGTGACTGAATTAAATTTCCGCCTGACGACGCGAGAGCGTCTCGTCATCGTCGTTCAAGAGGGAGAGGGAGCGAGCTCGTGCCGCTACGGAGCGAGAGGCATGCAATGGAGCCGGGGCCCTACATGGTGCACAGAATCCGAACGTCGCGACAAAAAGCGCTCCGAGTTAATCGCTATGAAGAACGATGATCATCCCGATATATCCTGATCGGATTGAAATCGGTGCTGCAATTAAGTCGGGATAGCCGAAAAAAAGGAGAGACGTTATATTACTTGCACACTCGGAAGAGACGTGAAATAAGAGGGTTATCGAGAAAGCAATCGATTTTTAATCGATCGGAAATGAGAGTGAATGAGGCTACAATTACATACAAACTTTGAAGAGACGAATAGTTGTAAGTGTTTTTCTTATGCTACATGGGTGCAGCATCGAGTCATCTCTTATATATACGGCGCGTATAATGTCATAAAGTTGGATTGTGTAAAAATGCCGTCTCACTATCAATATTATGAGGTAGTAAACAAATCTGCCGTTCGTTGATTTGTCGCCTATCATGCAGCCGTAAATTTTCTCGGAGAACGCGCACCGCACCGCACCGCGTGCACGCAGCATCATCGGCGCATTTTCTTCGTAGGAAAGCCGCTGCGTGCAATTTATGCAAATTATAGCTCCGAGAGTCACCCCGTACTTGTCTCGCCGCTCCAGGAGGCAGCAGGTATTAGAAGAAAGAAGAAAAAAAAAATAACGGACAGAGACTGGTATATCCAGCACCGAGATGGAGTTAAACATGGATAATATTAAAAAATAACTGATAATAAAATGACAAAATGCGACGTCGAAATTTTAAAAAAGTCTTATGTATAAAATATATAGAGATGGAGTGTAGAAACACCCAAAATCTCGAATTAGATAAAATATAGCGACAGATTTTTCAAACACACATACACGCACACACACACGCGTGCGTGCGCGCGCGCGCACATACACACACATACACGAACGGGCGAGTTTTCCGAAGCGAAACTGCTCGGTCACGCGCGACTTTCATCGCAATCACAATGGCCGTCGCTTCGAGACTGCATCGTGCGGTTTGACGCTTGTAATATGGTACCATTACATCTCTACACCACACCCCTCAGCAGATGTCACGTGATTCTCAAAGGACCCTCTTGCGTTTCAGGATCGTTATCTCCGATCGCGCTTGCAATCGCACGTTGGGATAACGCGTCCTCTGTATACATACATATATACGCGCATGTGTGTAAGGAATATGTATATAGCATTGTGTTAATCGAAATATATGATATCTGATATCTGATAGCCTAACCATTTATATGATATTCAATGCATGTGTCTCCTGATTTTTCTAAACAAATCGGTCTTTTTAAACTCTTTTCTCTCTCTCTCTCTCTCTCTCTCTCTCTCTCTCTCTCTCTCTCTCTCTCTCTCTCTCTCTCTCTCTCTCTCTCTCTCTCCTCTTTTCTCTATTATTAAATTACCCTAATTTTTAACATTTTCTCTATTATTAAATTGTTCTAGAATAGTTTTAACATTGCTCCATTTACCTTTGCACTCGCCTTTGCATTTATCGTTACATTTATATTGCTTTCATAAATAATTTTTCGATAATTTGATTTCATAAATTCTGACTTATTAAAATGCATAATTTTCTACTATTCTTGAATGTTAAAAATATATATCTAGAATATATGTATCGAATTTTTTTTTCAAAAAATACAGAGAGAAAGGAAGGAAAGGAGAGAAAGAAAATTATTTGAAACAACCTTCATGCACCGATCGTTGCATTCCAGTTGCATATAATAAACCTCCAATTAATTTCTGAATTAGTGCAGTAATAAATTCCTCTTTCAAGTAATTACAACATCTCATAAATCGCCAGAGCAAGGGTTTAGAGATATTAAAGATACATGGAGTAAACATAATGGCGTAAAACCGTCACGAGGGATGGAAAAGCAGGCTCGTAGGGGATACCTACAGCCCAGAAGTACACCCGAAGGGGTGGCAAAGGGGACGCCAAGGGTCGCCGAATGCGAAACGCGGCGAATTGTGCGAATTGCGGCTATAATACGAAATTCAGGATTATCCCTCGGACGCGGAAGGGACGACCCCGTGGAAGCAGCAGTACCACCACCGTGTGCCGCAGTGCGTCGTAACAGTAACATTAGGACAATAACGATTAAAAGCGGGGGTGCGGACACGACGCTTTCGCGCAGATGGCGAAAGAGCAGGAGGAGGAGGGGGGAGGAAGGACGTCTCTCGCAGAGACTGAGCGCCTCTCGGCCGAACAGAGAGAATGCAGGAAACAAGCTCTCGAGTTTTCCTCAAGCCGTCACCGACTTATGGTTTATTGCCCGTCTACGCCGTAGAATCCTCGGGGAGGCAAAGAAACGAGCGCACAGATGTTCCTTCCGCGATATTTCCCAAGACAGGAACGAACAAAGTTCCCGCCGCCGCGCCGGCTACCCCACCCGCGCCGCCTCCTTTCCACTCCGCGAGATACGATCGTTAGGCGTGTAAACACGTTTGTTGATCGGGAAAATCGTCGGACCCTCTTCTCCCGCTATTCGGGAAACCGCGATACGAAAACTATGACGAGCTACACAAGCTCTGCTTACGTGGTCGCCTGATCGATTTAATCGGTGATGTAGTAGTAGGTGTCCTGTTAACAGTATTTTTTGACTTCGTATATAAACAGTAGCGACCGTATAGTTAAATATACAAGAATTAATGCATCAATTATTAGTTTTTGCGCTGTTAACGTTTGTTATCTAATTTTTTACATTTATTGTTAGTATTATCCAATAGAAAAGAGCTCCGCAAAGTTGGTAGCGAATTCACAACACGCGCGATCCTTAAGGGGTTGAACCCTCCTCGATACGCATTGCACAATCCGGCGCGATGTGAACGGAGGGCGCTTGGTGAACACTAATTTTATTTAGAAACGACCGTGCGTGTGCGCTATACTATCTACCGTGTGTTTGTTACGCCAAGCAATAAAACGGAGCCCGTTGGCTCTCGTAAGCGGTCCGTGCTGTTTTCGACTAATTAACGTTACTCGAGTCGGCATTTTAATATTGACCTGCGTACGATTTTAATATTAACAGGTCTCATCGCAAATTCGAGCGTCGTGAACGTCCATTTCCTACTACTCTTTCGAATCCAGTTATAACTTTACTGTATGTAATCTTCAATTGTATTATGCAGCTACGATTTTCGTGTTAATTTTTATCTTGTAGTCTATGTAAACATTGTAAAGTGTCGCTCTAATTTATCATTTGTAAATAGTGTTATATTTTTAAAAACAAAAACTTTTGTGAACGTGTTCGCTTATGTTTTAAAACTTTTTTCTTTATTACCTCTCTGATTCTCTAATTTTTTATCATCTCTATAATATTGTAAAATCACTTTTTATCATTGTTTAAACAAAATTAGAGATCACATGAGTAAAAAATATAAAATATTTTGTGATATTATATATTAATATTTAATATCAAGCTACATTCTTTCATAAAATAACGCTCAAAAATATTCTCTAATTTCAGAATTTTCTCGTTTGATATCAAGTTAGATTCAACTCATTTTAAGGTTGACACAGTTTCAATAAAGGTAAAAATAGGTATATAGAGATAAAATATCCATTTGCATCGCTTTTCGAGATTTAATAAAAAAAATCTCTTTATCAATACGATTTCTTTTTTCGATAATAGTTTCGATGAGCACACATCAGAAATATGCTTACATTTAACAGACAGTCAACAAATTACAGTAGTTAACATTTCATCCATGACGGTAGATTCTGTCGTAATTATCATTATGCATTTGTGACTTCTTTTATCTACGAATTGTATGATTCTCGACATTTCGGGAATAAAATTTGAAAATTGTAAAGTTGAAGCAAAATTCAGTTTATTAACCGGATATCGAGTGAGGCCGTTGCCAGGCACAGCACGGCATTGAATCTTTCATTAGTTTATTCGGACGCGGAAATGAAATAACAATTATATCGTAATTGTCGACCGTGTTCGCAACACAATTACGCGAATTTATTAGTGATTCGTTAAATTGAAGGTTTCATCGTGGCGGCTTCGCGTATATACGGCCAGCTTAATGATACAAACAACAATAAACAGCGGTGGCAATAATATTCGGTCGCTTGTTTAAGAATATAATTAATTTGTTATAGATTATTACATTTTCGTCGTGCGGCAAATAAACCCGTCTATATACCAATATGGAAACATTTGTTATCGTTTATTCCGCAATCGAATGCCGTCGATCTGCAGAGAATAATAATATAATAATTATTTTTTTCAACATATGTATTAAATATACTAAAGTATTCTTTATTAAATATTCTATAAACATTATATATATTTTTTTGGTGTGTGTTATATACAGATATTATTTAGCACAAACATCTTTTTGGGAAACATCAATATTTCTGTACTTCTTTTAACTAAAGTCGATTTTCCAATAACCAAATTAAATTTTTAATAAAATTTCCAATAAAAATACATATTCTATACTTTTTTAGTAAACTTCTTAGAAACAATAATTAATTAATACTGACAAATCTGTTAACCTGAAAATTCCGAAATCAGTTTAGTGCCTGGTGGTAAAATAATGCATAACACCATTCAAGTGTTTATCCATTTAAAAATCCATCAGATAAAAAAAATACTTTACATGTATATACCCGCTTTCTTAAGCTCTTCTTTCGCATCATTGCTGTAATCGATGAAACGAGCCTATTATATGCAACAGATCGACGATAAACGAAAATTTATCGTCATAAACAAATGCACCGAGGTTATTTCTTCCCTTCATTAAGCATCTATATGCGAGGCAATTTAAAATCGAAATAAATTCCGTTTTATCGTCCGTGTGCGATTATCTTGTCAGAGTGTACATCCGCGATATAAATATTTCCTTTTCTTTCACGTCATCATTTTTGCGGTATCTCATTAAGACAGACACTCGTCGTCCTTGGACCGAGAAAACCGTCTCCGAGTATTAACTATTTCCGTCATTAATCATAATCCTGCGAGTATCATGATGTTAATTAGAAGCAGGCACGGTGCTTTTAATTAATAATAAGAAATTTAATCTATAATCAAATTAATGCGTTCTTATTTCAGAAAGTGATCATCGCTCGAATATTACAATTAATAACAAATATGTTGTAAGCATCATGTTTTAAGCCTCTAAATAGTAAATTTTTTGTTTAATTGTATTTTTTGAATTAATATCCATTTAGGAGAGAGACATTTATATTAATAACCATTCTATCATTTTATTTAGAGGAGTGGCACGATGCGTCAATCGATAGTGTCGATACTTGGAGAGACAGCACACTTATATTGTTAGACCTATGTCAAATCGACAATCTTCTGATGACTTTCACGTCAAGCGGCGAATGAAAGGATGAAAAAAAAAGGAGAAAGGTGGTGGCCGGCTATTTATGGGGGTTGTGCGCACTTCTGTCAGACGCACGCTTAATGTAAAGCCGGTCTTATCTTTTACGCGATTTAAGGGGCTTGTAACTGCACGTAATCACGCAGCACGCGTACACGCTTTCCTTCCCTCCGGAATCCGTTGAAATGCCCGCTTCTTTCCATTCCGGACTTAACCTACGCCCTGCAATCACCCCAACTACCGCGGATACGCAACGACCCTTTTATTACCTCTTTACACTTTCATGAGTCATGTTATGGAAATGTAACTCCAATAAGAATTGTCATATTTTTAGTTGCCTTTTTATAAGTCCAATAAATCGATAGTACGAGCCAGTGATGTTCAACCTGCGGGCCCGCGTTCGATCCGCCCGCCGACTCGCGACTAGTCGAAAAATATAAAATCATATCTTCTATTTTATGCAAGCAAAATAAACATTATGCGACTCGCAAGATTTTGCCTATTTCTGGAAATGATCCTCAGTTTAAAAAAAAAAACTTGACCGCCATTGACATAAGCAATAAAAGAATTACACTTAAGAAAGAGAGAAAGAGAGAGGAAGAAACTAAATAAAGCATTGAAATGTCACAATTTATCTTCCTCGTTCTTGTTTAATTGCTTTTGTTTAATTAATGCATCATCGCTGTACATTTACCGTGTATATACCGCTATTTATTTCTACTCACATGCACTCGCAAAGACTGGGCAAAGCGCGATTTTGCGTTACGTGAACCATGAAGAGAACACAATATCACACTTCGCGCAACTCCTAGAACTGGAACGACTTCCTCGGGAGGCGTGTAAATGCGGACTTCGGCTACACCAAACAAGGAACGTTAGCGGTCTAGTTTACAGTATAGACGTCTGTGCACTTTAGTCCGTACGGATTAGCGATCTCCCGGGCTGATGTGGAGCAGGGAAATTTGTGTGCGGTGAAATTCGCGTGGTCCACGCTTAACAGCGCCGAGCGCGCGTTGACAGTTTGGTAATGGAGCCAGCGAGTTCGGCGCAAGATTCAACTGGCGACGACGTCTGGTATGGACGTATCTCGCCAGTCGATATTGCCTTTCGGCGACCTGAAAGAGCGTGTCGGCGTGTCGGTACGCGCGGAAAACGCCGAAGGTTGTGTGTCGCTCGCTCGGTGCAGCTGCATTCACGTCGAAAGCCACTTTGCCACGGGGCGCGGTGGTGGCGTACGCGACATAAAGTGTGGTGCTGGGCGTGTTATCGCGCAGCACGCAATATCGCAACTTCTCTCAAACTAGAGTGAAATTAATCTTTTCTCTGCTTAATGATACGTGCGGTTGGTGCGAGTGCAAATTATGACGGCGCAATGCAAAATTGAATATGTAAAAGATGTAAGAGTTTCTACAATTTGTATTATTTACATAGTATATTAAAAGAGTTAAAAAACCAACCGGATTTAACAGAATAAAAGAATGAGAAATAACGTCATATAACTTATGGACTCCTGTCTTAATCAAATAAATTACGTTCTATCGAATTTTATTTTATTGTCAAAAGTATTATTAAATCTTTTCCATCGGAGTATCTCCACACAACATCATAAACCAAATTCTAATAAAAATTTCATTAATAACGTGTAAAATACTTCATACGCCTCGGTGAACAATTCAAAAGAGCAACTGCATAAAGGGAACCACGAAATCCTCTCAACCAGATTTTTTTTTACACACGCTTTTAATTACACTCGTACCGCCTAGCAAAAACTAGATTTTTTTTTCACTGCGTTTAATTCGAGCAGGATCTATATCGTTCGACGCAGCTCGCTTTTGATGGGATTCATCATGCACAAATGCACTTCTATACGTTAGAGAATCCTGACTTTGCTAGACATTACTCATATTGGCAGGTGTAACAAATCGCTCTCTCTCTCTCTCTCTCTCTTTCTTTCTCCGTTGCTCGAGGATTAAAACCTTTAACGCGCAACTCGATGACACATCGCCGTGATTAGTGCGTGGCTTATCGCACGTGAGTTTGACAAAGTCCACTGAATATCCCGCTGTGAATTCGCTCGTTTATCAATCGCGCTAATCTATCGATGGTTGTAATCCATTCTTTTGCGATTCTACAAAATTTCTCACCCACAAAAAAAAAACGCAATATAAAGAAACGTCGTTCTAGAGAGTGATCGGATTTGATGACGATGCAACTTTCAACTCGATTTTCAACATCAACTGTCCCTTTCTTGTCGCTCGCGTTTTGACAACGAGCCGCCACCGCGCACGTAACTAAGACATGCGATGCTTTCAGAAGTGGTGATATCATGCACGATGAGACCTTCTACGCCAAACCATTGAATTTTTTTCCTTAAATCTCCAATCCCATTGTATTTATGGTATGACCAATTTTTAAGACAAAGCATCGCAAACCTCAGTGCGACAATTTTGTCAAGATACGAACAGCAAGGATAGCAGACATCGATATAAGAATCAGGTCGAATTTTGCAACTAAATCCGACCACCGTTCTCTACAGCATGCGTGATCAGAGCGTCGTTCACGCAGCGAATAACGTCACCTTCGCAGACCTCCTCGGGGTTTGTTCAGATTTCTCACTTCCATGCAAAATAACATTCGTCGATCGATCAGATGGAAAAGGAAAAGAGACAGGAAGATGTGACAGGCAGCGGTCGATGGCCGAGAAATGTCGCACCGACCTCGTCCTCGGTGAATTGCTCACCATTCATTTTCGAGACTTTCTGCTTTTCCCTCTCAGTCTCACTTTTTTTCGGTATCTCCTGGGAATTTCAAAGTCCACAGAGCGCAGTTGGAGACGCATGTAAACGCATAGGAAAGAATTGCCACATTATGAGAGAGATATAGAAAGAGAAAGAGAGAGAAAGAGAGAGAGAGCGAGAAGAAGAACAAGTTAGAACGAGAGCCGAAGCGAACAGAGTAACCTGGCCAAAGGATGCAAAACTTCCGAAAAGGAGCACCAGGAAAGCGTGAAGTGCGCCAATCACGGGGCCGTTATTGGCGGCAATTATGATAATAGCATACCTCGAGCGAGAGCGGTCCTGCGCGCGGGCGTGCGCGTCCAGCAACGCGCGTGTAAGCGTAGCGTGCATGTATATATACGCGCATATACGGGGTGTCCGACGATCATAAGCTACTATCTTTCGTCGACAGTTCGTTAAATAAGTAATATAATCAAATATCGATTTTACTTTAATAAAAATTAGATGAGAAAATTAATGTCGATAGTCAAATTAAAAATATGCAGTCGTTTCGAATACGCTTTCGAGAAGCTAAATAATTTATATTTGTTCCGTATTTATCCCTAAATAGACTTTATGAGTAAAAAATTTAATTATTTATGTATTTAATATTGAAAATTAAAAATTAATAAACAATCAACCTTTAATTATATGTAGTTAATTTTAAATTTATTTTCGGATAGTGTTCCGATTTGAAATTCATTTAAATGTCTAATAACTGAATATATTTAATATAATTTTTTTTAATTACAAATATAATTTTAATAATCTTTTTCTTTCATTAATCTGCTTAATTTATCATATCTTACAATTAAATTAGTCGGTAATAATCATTTAAAGTTATATCAAATATATTTTATTGAGAGAATAAAACATAAATAACGCAAAATAGATTTAAAAAGCAACACGGTTTTCGCAGGCCACCCAGTAGACGCGATGCGGCAGCGAGACGCTCAGAGAAGAAGACGAGAGCGCCGTAGGCTCGCGAAATACCGGTCTCTATTAATCATGTAAACGGTTTATCGCGGGTAGGAATATTACTGGCTGCGATAATTACGCGCAAATTATTCTTACGAAAATGCGCGGAACACGTGAGTTGCGTTGTTGCATCCCCGCGCGAGTGGCGTGGACGCGCGCGTTTTCGCACGGAACATCTGTTTTTTTTAATAAAAGGTATAGGAGATTAGGTAGGCGAGCATTTTATTGTCACCCCTTCCCCGTGACGGGCCGATAAGCGCACGAACGAACAGATTAGGGATACACGCGCAAGCTTGTACGCGCTGTAAAACAGCTCCAGATAAATGTAATCGTGAAGGGGATCGAATACTCGCGGCAAAACTTTTATCCGCATTCGGCGGGAAGAAGTTCATAAATTACGACAAGTATATATCTCTCTCGCCTCGTCCTTCATCTATTATCTATTAATTTTGATTTCTATATGGCGAAAGATTATTTCATCGTTTATAAATGCTCTTTTATTCATTTTGTGGCATTATCTTTTTTTTAATATTACACGTCTATATTAAATTAGACGAAATAATGTTTACGCAATATTTATATCGTTTAACATGAGAATTATCATCGACGTAGCACAACGATAATGTTTCAGATATTTTAATATTACATTTAAATGTATATATAAATTCAATTCTGATACTCGAATATATTATATTTTATTTCTTTTTTTTCTCGCGCATATATATTCATTGCAAACAAACTTCGTGCCGCACAATGTAATTATTATATACTCGACGTTGCCTCTCTGTAACACGCGAAGTTCGTGACAATGTTTTAATTTGAGTTCTGACCGTGTCCTCCCGAAAAAGAAAAAAAAACGATTTGAATGTATCACGGCGGACAGTTCGCGCAACGGGCTATTCGCGAATAATCGCCAACTTCACGAAATCTTTTGCGGGCCCGTCCGGCATACAGAAGTTAATTACACGTCACGCGGGGGCACTATATCGCGAATAGTTTCGTGCTTCTAATTGGACACGTGTAGTTATTTGCTCGGCGAACGCCGAGCGTACGTGCGGCCGCTACAAAGTGTACACGTACACGCACGCGGAGTTACAGCAGGCGTCGCGAAACGACGACGGCGACGGCGGGGCCTTCTATACGCGCCTATAGGCGCTCCATAAAAGCGCGCGGACACCATAACTTGGCTAACACACGCCACCCACGTACGCGCGCACGCCGATAAGAGGAGGAAGAACGGTGCGGGTGCACGCGCGTATATGTACATGCGCTGCGTACGGCAACGTGCAGCGCGCACGCACACACGTACGGCGCTCGCGCGCATGCATCGCACACGGTCGGAATCGACCGAAGCTTAAAACCCCCTCAAAGTTGCAGCGAAAGGTTTTGCATTAGATATGCAGAAACGCGCGCACCGTCGCTTTACCGCGGTTTACCGGACGATTTAGAGAGACCCCGCGATCGCTCCGTCGCGGCTTCCGCGTAAGAAGACTAATTAATTAAGCCATTTGCCTCGAAAGCGCCGATCTGCGGCGGAGAAAACGGGCAATTTAAATGGGAGGCAAAGGAGAATTGATTTCATCTAGCTGCTGCAAAGAATCCCCACAATGTCATTCGCATCGTTTTAATTCATATAACACAATTGTTCTGTCAAAACTCTCATTCATAATTCTCAATGTACTTTACAAGATTTCCGCTGTGACTCAATTATATTTTGTAAAACTAATTCTATAAAATAAAAACCAAAATTTCAATAAAGTTGAAAAAAAATTGTAAAGTTACATATTATCTGTAATGTAGATCGTTCCTTATATAACTTGAGTTTACGTCCTACTAGGAAAACTATAAAGGTGCAAATGTAAGAAATATCAAGCAAACATAAAAATAGCGTGTACGTTAAAAATGTAAATGCACCCGATGTAAAAATATGCTGCAACCTTAAGATTGATCTATCGCACGATATCTTGTATACCCTTCAGCGCGTTACTGTAAGTTGCATGTCACGCAATTGAATTTCTATTATACCGAATGTAAGCTTTCTGACATCAAATCGGTCAAGGACATACAAATATTCTATACTTATTTTCTGTGCAACGTGCAACGATGTTATATTTTCCTGTATAATAAATATAATACACTTTCATTTCTTTATCGATTTACTACAATTCTCCCTTACCCCAACTTTGTCATGAATATTTTAAAGAGTGACAATTATATTAGTAAAAAAGATAACCAAAACGTATAAGATAACTTAAATCTAGTGATTGAATTGATTTTCCATTACATTTTCATCAGGAAATAGCTTATATATTCGATTGTTAAAACGATTGGAAATTTAATAAGTAGGTATTATATATAGACAGTAAAAGATAATATTTTGCATTATTAACTTTAGTCAAGTTGTGCACTACCGACACCTATATGTTGACCGTAAATATCGATCACTCGACGTACTTTGATGGCATATGGCGCGAAAAAGTTTCTTATGAGAAGGCGCGAGATAAGCTATCTAAGCTATCTCGATAATAACTCCGGGTATTGCGACACCAAATAAAATTTCGATAACACCGTGATACGTTGAAGCCCCCATTAAACAACGTATATAATTCGACGTAGTAAGATCATTAAGATTTTCTCGTTGTAATCCAATCCATGCGATTGCGAAAATAAGCATACGCTGGAACGATCATTTATTATCGTCCGTGATACGTTGATTATTTCATAACGGGCGTTTTGCGAGCGCGAATCGATTTCTCGACGCATGAGCGACCTATATTTGACATCTAGTTATGTAATTTTGATATTTGAATAGAATTATGTAATTCTGACAATACTGCTATACGCCACAACGAAAAATACAATGTAATTGTTTTTTTAATTAAATTCTTTTTGTTTTTAACAATGGAAAAACTAGAAGAACATATTCCAGATTGTTTAAACGGTACTTACTGTTTAGTTATATATACATCATATAATTTGTCTTGTAGAGAGAATATTGATTAGCATGACTGTGTAAAATTTTGCTTCGTTGCAAAAATCCATCCTTAATTACAATTTAAAGCACCTAATGAAACTGTAAATATAAAAAAAATATATAAAACTAATAGACGTTTCTTCTTTGTCTTCAGGGTATCGCTGTTTCTATTTTCTCCCTTTTCCTCTTTCTTCCTTTCTCATTACAGTCGCGACGTATTCTGTATCGTGCTCGCAACAATTTCCTCGCAAGGCGAGTGCATTTTTCTAAAACATCATAAATCATCCAACCGTCCATCATCTCATAACGCCAAGCTACAAATTACGCGACCCGCAACGGGAGAAACTCGTACGATATCGGCTACGATAATGCGAGTGCGGAGCAACGTAGCGCGCGAAAAGTATTCCTCGATCCGCTATGATCATGAGAATTGATCCGCGAACGAAGAAATTTTTATCGTTGAGCCTGTAATTTTGCGGAAACTTTCGCAATTCGGTGCACGGTTTTTCAACACGCGTACCTTTATTTCCGATTCCGACATGACTGACGTTGTTGTCACAACAACGAAGCGAATACAGAATAAGACATATAATTGTTAATGCTTTTTAGTTCATTATTACACTGATTTTATAATAGGACTTTTCAAATAACGTGTTACAATATCCTAAGGTTTAAGATTGCAAAGATCTTATTGTTAGTAGAACAGATGACTTGTAATTGACAAGACAATTAACATCAATCATTTATTATAACATAAAACTTACTTTTGTATAGAAATAAAGTTAGTAATACTTTTATAATAATAATAATATAATAATATAGCGATATGTCATCATTTCACAAACAAAACGGCTCTTTAGTTTAAAACTTCAGACAAAACATTATTGTGCGATACTAAAGACAAAAACTTAAAGTATAGAACATTGTCATAAAAGTATCAATATAATAAGTTAATTGGGCTAAGGCTCAAAAGACAACGGAAAGACTGTCAAAGCATTACTCTTTCAATTAATGTCATAATAATCTATTTAAATTTATCGTTAGTAAATATATTTTTGACTTTTTAAACAATTGTTTTACACATTACATTATTGCAGCTCCGAGAATTACAAATGAATTATGTACGTTCCGAGTAAAATTGATTTGTTTGTTATTAAATATGCTATATATATATATCGGGATACATAATGGTTAATATATATAACAACAATATAGATAAAGCAAACCTGTCAAACTGTTTTCGCAAATTATATATCGCGCCGTAATGAATTCTCTCGTGCGTTATATTTCCTGTAAAAGCTTATGAAAGTCTGTTTATCATTGGAATGTCAATAACAATACCAACGTCAACCATTCTTTTGCTCCTTATCCAACTTTAAACAATGAACTGCTTCGGTGTTCCCATGAACAGATAGCCAGATGAGGAGTGCAAGGAGAGGGAAAGCAGCGAAGGAGGAGAGAGGGGGGCGGCAATTACGCGTAATTCGCAGGTGTTGTGAGAAAATGGCGGTCGCGGATGTGTTTTCGACCTTAATCGCGGCAATTTTTCTGCCATTACTAAGTTTATCGGCACAGCTCTCGCTCGCCCGACACGACCGGGGCGGCCGGCCGGCCGGCGTGCAAGATTTTTTTTTTATTACGATCGTGCTCAATCCAGCCCGATCCG